AGGTGGGGGGGAAAGGTGGGGGGGAAAGGTGGGGGGGAAAGGTGGGGGGAAAGGTGGGGGGAAAGACGAACCACGAACGAGTGAAGGTGCTGCCAAGGACAAAGTGTACAAGAAGGTGTTGGGGGGTGGGGGGAAGAAAAACCCAGTTACAGGGGAGAGGGGTGTGAGGGCGGGAGAGGGGGAAGGGTGAAAGATGTCAACAAACACACCAACAAAGAGTGGAGAGGAGGACGACTAGAGCCATGGGAATGGGAGATGAGGCTGTTATGGATGCGTCGAGTGCGATGTGCCATTATGTGATTGTGTATCGGGAGGCACAATCCAGCACGAAAGCGAGAGCTCGGACCAGCTCGGAAATCCAAAAACTCATGAGGGCACAACACGGCATTACATACACGCTATGCCATCCTCGCCAGCTCAGATATGTCCCCGGCTCAGATCTAGAGAGGACACACTTTAATAAAAACACGACGAAACACATGGCAATACACACACACACATGCGCGCGTGTGCGCCGCAGGGCAGCCGAGGAGGCTAGGGAGAAGGTGTTGGCGCGTATGGCTTCGGAGCGCGGCAAGCAACGCGAGGGCCAGGCCGCCAACGCCCAGCGCCTGGCTTCGGAGCAGGGCCGCAGGCGGGAGGCCGTGATGGGGCTTAAGAATAGTTTGGCTGCCGTACGGGCTGACGTGGCACGGCAGGCGGAGCTGGCAGCGGCGTTGCAGCGGCAGCGGCGAGAGCTTCAGGAGAAGGAGTTTGGTGCGTTGGTGGAGGCTGGGCTGAATCCGTACGAGGTGTTTCGGCGGAGGGACCAGCAGGAGGAGGTGCGTGCGTGTGTATGTATGTGTGTATGTGTGTCCTTTCCCCTGTTCCCCTCTCTTCCCTCTCCCTGTCCCCCGAATCCTCCCTCGTAAACTTCTCAAATTCCGATCCTGAAAACGCAGATTCGTACACACACACACACACAGACGGACAGACAGACACTTTGCCACGAGCCGTTACACCCGTCCCCTCCTATTTTCCCCCTATTCCCCGGTCTTTTTTCCCCTCCCCTTTCCCACACACTCTCTCCCTCCGTGCAGGCCCAGCGGCAGCACGCCGCCATTCAGTCCAACATCTCCGCGCGGCAGTTGGAGTTGGCGGCCCAACTGGCCCGGGAGCAGGAGAGCTACCAAGAGAGGATGGCGGCCAGGAAGAGGGAGAAGGAGGACAGGGTGAGAGTCCAGGGAGGGAGGGGAAAAGGAGGGGAGGGAGGGAGGAGGGAAGGAGGAGGGAGGGAGAGAAGGAATGATGTGATGATGATGATGATGATGATGATGATGATGATGATGATGATGATGATGATGATGATGATGATGATGATGATGTTGGTGGTGATTTCCACTCCCCTTTTTGAGTTGCTCTCGCAGGAGGTCTTTGACCGGGAGATGGGTGTGGCTGCACGGCAGGCTCGTACGGATGAGTACATGCGCACCCACACCGCCACGGGGAGCGCTATGCTGGACCCCACAGGTGCGTGAGAGGGGAAAGGGGGGGGAGGGGGAGGGGGAGGGGGGAGGAGTTGTGTGTGTGTAAGAGTGATTGTGTGTGTGTGTGCGTGTACAGACAGACAGACAGACAGACATACCTGCTTTCCCCCCTCCTCTTCCCGCGATAGGTCGTCTGCCGGTGTTTCCCTCCCAAGTCACCGTCGTTAAGGACGCCCGCTTCGGCCAGGGGGGTGCCCCCTCGGCGCTGCTGGCCCAGCAAATGGCGCGTCTGGGCCCCCAGGCCCCCAAGCAGCTGCTGCTGCCGGCCAAGTACCGCAGCGCGGAGGCGGATGCGGCGGCGGTGGCGGCGCTGGGGGGCACGTACTCCGGGGGGGCACGCCACGCTGCTGGGGATAGCGACCCGGACAGCGAAGGTGGGGGTGGAGGCGGCGGAGGGGGAGGGGGAGGACGAACCACGAGCGAGTGAAGCTGATGCCAAGGAAAGACTGATGCACCAGAAGTTTTAAAGAAGGCGTAACTAACCGGTCGGCGTTTGTAAAGGACAAGTCCTCGCGACAATCTAGTTGTGACGATAACGGAAGAAAACTACCTACCTAGCCGCCAAAATTAAAATAAAGTGCGGAAAGTGAGCAGGAAAACCAACTTCGTAATATTCTAGGGGCAGGTGTAAAGGGAGGGGAGGGGGGGAAGGGGAGGGGAGGGGAGGGGCCTTGGGCTCTGCTTAGAGGCAGTCGGCCGCTCGGGGCGGCCGTTACGTTACCGCCGTACGGACGTACTCCGACATGTACGTCTGCGTGGTCCAGGACCTGCTGACACTCACACGTGCTTAGACGTGCTTTGTGTGTATGTATGTGTGTCCGTTTTATTGTGTGCGACATTCGCAGGTATGGGCTCTCCCCCGCGATCCCCGCGCCGTGCCTCGGCTCCCCCGCCTGCCGCCGCCGCCACCGCCTCCGTTTCTCCATCCCGTCAGCAGAACCTGAGCCAAAGGCACAGCCTGGGGGGGGTGCCGCTGCAGCAGCAGCAGCAGCAGCAGCAAGGGCAGGGGCAGGGGCAGGGGTCCCAGGACCGCTACAAGCAACTGGCCACTCGGCCCCTCACCAAGTTGGAACAGAGTATGATGGAGGCGGCGAAGACACGACACAAGCAAGCCATCGGAGCGGCGCAGGTAGAGGAGGAGGGGGGAGGGAGAGGGTGTGTGTGTGGGGGGGTGGCGAGTGGAGGGGCGGGGCCGGCGCATGTAATGTCCGAGGAATGCCCGAGATTGAAGAGCGTACTCTAAAGTATATATATATATAAGCGTATGCCGGGAAGGGAACGGGGAGGAAGAGGAAGGAGGGGGAGGGGGGGTGCGGGGCCTGGTCGTGTCCTGGAGCTCCGCTCACTCACCCGCCGCCGGGCCACCTCAATCCAAACCCAAACCGTAACCCAACCCCCGCCCTGCCCCAACCCCAACCCCAACCCCCGCCCTGCCTCAGACTCAGATGGGTCGCACGTTTGGCGGCGACGCCTTCCTAGCCTCACCCGCCGTCATAGAGTTCAAGGACTACGAAATGGGCCGTACCACGACACTCTCCGTACAGATTATAAACCGGTCGTACAAGAAGAACACGTTTCGGTGCGTTGCGAGGGAGGGAAAGGGAAGGGAAGGTGTTTTTGGGGGGTTGAGCGCGGTGGTGGGGTAGGCTGCGTGTGCCCCCAAGAGTCTGCGGCTCGTCAGGTCCCTTATGTAGGTGTGCATGTGTGTGTGTGTGGAGGGGTAAGAGGGAGGGGAGGGAGGGGAGGGTGAATCGGTGGGTGAGTGGGCGAGCGGGTATGAGTGGAATGGGGCCCGGTTTTGCCCTGGATATAATATCATTGAGTGCAATGCAATGTGTAGTGGAATGTATATCACCATATATATATATATATAATATAAATATATATATATATATATATATATATTATATATATATATATATATAATATATATATATTATGTACTATATTATATATATAATATATATATATATTATGTACTATATTATATATAATATATATATTTATATATATATATATATATATATATATATATATATATATATAATATATATATAGGTCTGGTCTGGGTTGACACTACTGCAATTAGCAGTTTAAGGTCCTGGGTTCGATTCCTGGGGAGACCCCCGAATTAGTCGGGAGCGCGAGATTATGGCTAGCTGCTGAGATGTGGAGTTGAGGTCACAGTTGATGGACCAGATTCGCACGCTAGATTGGTGGCGATTGCCGAACCCTCCGTCTCTTCGGGTGTTCGGGTGAATGGATGAGGAGGGGTCCCTGAAGGCTGGATCCGCCGCCTTGGACTAACAGTTCGTATGGCGAAGTACAGTGTGGTAGTGGTGGATGGTGCTATAAGGTGATAAATGATCTAGAACTGACAATGTGATAAAGCGGCCCAGAAGCCTCCCACTCTGTAACATTACATTACATTACATTACATTACATATATATATATATTATATATATATAACATGTACATATATCATAATGCGTATATTATTATGTATCATAATTAAATACACATCTGATATACATATAGACCCCGACCTTACCCCCCTCCGCCCCTTTCTCACCTCTTTTCCCCCCTCCCCTCCCGACACATACACATACACACACACGCGCGCGCGCAGCGTGTTGGGCATCCCCGTGGAGTATTGCGACGTGCTGGACTTCTCGTACAAACTACCCGGCTACCTGGCCCCGGGGGTGTCGGGGGAAGTGGCAGTGTCCTTCACGCCCAAAACACCCGTCGACGTCGACACGTGTCTGCAGCTGCTGGCGGACACAGGGCCCTTCGATGTGCCCATACGGTGCCGTACGAAGCGCGCGGAGCTGTCGGTGGCGCCGGCGGCGGTGGACTTTGGCGGCGGGGTGACGCTGGGGGATTCGGCCACCCGTACCTTTGTGCTGAGCAATGAAGGCGCACTGGAGGTACGTGGAGGGGGCGGAGGGGGGAGTGGGAGGGTGGGGGTTGGGAGGTGTGGCGTCAAGGGGGGTTTCTTGGACTACCTTGGAACAGAAGGGCTTGGGTCCGTCAAGGGAGAAAAAAGCGTGTGTAGTGGTTGGCGCGGGCGGGACTCGATAGGGGGACTTGGCGCCCTCGTATTTCAGGAGGTAAGAGAACCGCTTCTGCTCCCTCTCCTCCACCTCCACCTCCACCGCCATTCCCTCCCCCCCCCTCCCCAAACCCCGACGTCAAAACACCACATCCCACCACAAAACCCCACCACCACCACACCTCTCCACACACACACACACACACACACACACACTAGGTGGAGTACCGGCTGGACAGCCCGCAGCTCTCGGAAGAGGAACGTGCACTGCTCAAGTCAGCCACCTTCGCACACGGAACACTCAAAGACGCGACCATCGCAGCAGCCGCGGCGGCAGCAGCTGCCGGCGGCGGCGGCGGCGGCGGCGGTGGTGGTTTGCTGTCTCGCGCGCGCTCCTTCGCCAGCCAGACGGCGGCCACTGACGGCGGTCCGCTGGCGGCGGCGGCGGCGGCGGTAGAACTCCCCCGGGAGGAGCGGCGGCTTACCCACGGGGGCTTCACCGTATTTCCCTGCGTCGGGACACTGAAGGGCTATAGCCAGGTGACCTTCACAGTGACGTTTGCGCCGGTGCTGGCGGCGGCGGCGAAGCTGGTGATCAACCTGTCGTACAAGTGGGTGCTAGGGGGGGTATTGCTCTAGGGGGGGTTGTTTAGTTGGGGGGTGTTGCGCGCAGTTGGTTGTGTTTGGAGGGGGGTGGTGGAGGGGGGTGGGGTTGGCTTAGCCTTAACTTAAGGCCTGTCTTGGTGGGATGTGGGATCGGGGGTTATCTCCCCTCCCCCTCTCTATCTATCTATCTATTTACCTAAGTACCTTACCTACCTACCTATCTACCGACCTACATATGGCGTGTTGGGTGTGTGTTGTGGTGGTTGTCGTCATGCGGTCATTTCACATGGCGGCCTGGGGGCACGGGGACGGGTGCACGCGGGTCACCGACCTCCGTCCTGGTTGGGCTGGATCCCGCCTGCCACATTTCCTCCCCCCCCCCTTCACCCCCCTTTTCCCAAGGAAAACACCTAAGGCACCTTCCCATACTCGCCCTCCCAGACTTCCCCCACTCTCCCCATCCTCCCCACCCCCACCC